TTTAAAACAAGTTCGCGTATTTCGTGTTGAGATAAATAGATGATCTACAATCACGGGATTTGTGTTGATCAAATTTCAGATTTTTAATTTTATTTTTCTTCGAAGATTCATAAACTACCCGAAAATAAGCAGCATTATAACAAAAATATGTTGCTTATTTTCGGAAGAATACGGTAATTAAGTTTTAATCACAAAAATATTCTACTATTGCATATTTAAGAGTAATTTTATTTAGCTATTAAAATAGATTTGAAAATTGATTATAATAATGAATATTTATTAAATAATATAGTTAAGGCAATGTTAGTAAAATTTAATATTATAATAAATTAGAAGAAACATCTCATATTGCAATTTTTTTAGATTCTATATATAAAAAATATTGGTTTTCAAAAATGACAGATTATGGAATACAATTACCAACTAGAAATCTATTTAAGCAACAACAACAACAACAAGAAATTCCTATTATATTAACAAAAAAAGTTTCAAGCTTTTTAAAGAAATTAAAAAGAGTAACTTCTATTATTACAAATGCAGATAATGAAATTAATAAATATTAGATTTCTGCTGAAGCTAAAAAAGATATAAAACCTATTAGTGAAAAATACATTCTACTGAATATCCTAATTTGTCAAAACTTGCATTTGAATATTTATGTATTCAAGCAAGTTCAGTTCATGTGAACAATTTTTTTTTAATTGCTGATCATGTTTTATATAAATCACAAAATCATTTATCTGAAGATACTGTAAGAGCATATTTATGTTTATATAGTTAGATTACAATTAAAACTAAACCTATATTTATATAGTAAATAAATTTTTATAAGTTTTAAAAATATTAGAATACTTAAAGTAAAAAAATTGTTGTAAAACGGTCAATCAACTGGTCAGTATAAAATCAGTCAGTTAACTAGTCGGTTAGTCAAAGGTCTTTAATCTGACCGTTAACTGATCATAATCAATCATTATCATCCCTAACGTTAGAAGACGTTCTTCTTCAACAAGAATGTTTTTAGTCTCTATATAGTCATCTTTTTTCATATAACTGCAAATATGGAATGTAATAATCATTAATTTAGTGTATATATAGATATATATTATTAACCTTTAGAGCAGACACTAAACACGAGTTGATTACATACAAATTCATTATCAAATAATTATTTTTTAATAATTTGTTATCATGATACTGGTCTATAATAACAATTAAAATTATTAATTTGTAAATTGACTAATTAAGATGATAAAATACTTCAAATCTTATAAATCTTTATTGTATTATATTCTATTTGCAATAAAGATTTGCAGCAAATAGTTGTCTATTATTAATATTTTTTACGAGATAAATATTTCCAAAACTATCACTAAATATTATAATAAATTAAATACATATTAATAAATAAGAAACATAAAAATATTATATATTATATATATCTACTAAGTCTTTTAATGAAATTATATTTGTGTTAAAAGCAATGATTTTTCATTACACTTGAACTTTCTGATGAACAACCTAATTTATTTGCCAAAATTCAAAGTTAATTCATTTCCAAATTTTCATAATAAATTTGAATTAGTTATACTACTATCAGTATCTTCTTCATTATTATCATAATTCTAAATAAAAAAGATAAAATTGAGACAAGATTTTGAATTAATAGAAGTTATTATATTTAAAACCCAAGAAGCTAAAGTTTTTATGAAAATAAATTTGCAACATGTTCAAAATTTTACAGAAAATTTTATTTTTTCTCATAGGAAGCTCTAAGTATTTTAATTACCAAAATTTAAAGTTAAATCTCAATTTACTGTTATTTGTTACAACCGCATTTTGATAAATTTGCATTGCAAAATTCATCTAAAATAAAATGTACAGTATATTAAAATTAATATTGAAATAGATGACATGCTTTCAATTTAAAATCAAAATTTTCACTGACAAAGTTCAAAGTCTTGATGATGTTTAAATTGTATAAGCATTCTATCCTGCAATACAAATCTTCTTTAAACGCCACCTTTTTCCATTTCTTATCTTTTCTTTGCATTTCATCAAGGCTAATATTTAAATTACATAAATTGTGAATAGAAACTGTTATAATTTATGATTATGTTTAAAATATTTAAAACTTTAAATTCTCGATAATGTGACTTTTTTTTATTCTGAAGTTAAAACAAAATAGAAAATATTAGAAAAATTAGATGATGATAGTAACGAAGGTTTATCAGTTTATAATAACTCACATAATGTATTCCTGTGAAAAATATTTCTCCGCATCCTTCTAAATGTATGTATTACTAGAAATAGTTTCGAAAATCATTGTTAAGTTTAGAACGATATTAACTAAAAAAAATTGTAAAAGCCAATCAGTATCGATTCAATTATTGAGCGGGCAGACAACAGGATATCTCGTATAATATGTAACTAGTATATGAAAGTCTTTTGCTTTACTCTAGACTAATAAAAATTGAAAAAATTAATAAATAAATTTGGTTAAAAAAGATTAACTGATTCCATAATAATTATATTGCCTCCAATTCTTCATTATCACCAAACATATAAAATACATTTTATATAAAGCAATAATGTCATGCGTAAATATCAAATATCCCTAAATATTGATATTAAATAACTTAATTTTCTTGTTTATAAGGACCTCAAGATTTCATTAGCAGTTCTTTTAGACATCTTTTTAAAAATAAAAAAATATTTTTATTTTGTAAAGGAAAAAAATTGCGAAGTAGTAAGTAAATAGATTTTAAAAAACTTGATAATCTAAATGATCACCTAAAATTAGCAAGGTTCGTAATCTTGCAATTTTCACATCGATGTCATAAGTTCGTATTAAACAATAAAATTATCATTCAATTATATTTGTTGTTAAATTAAAAATCGCAAGGAATAAAAAAATTCAAATAAATTAGATCCAAAACTGAAACAAAAAAAAATTTAAAAAAAAATAAAAAATAATAAATTAAATAAATTAAAATATACCAATTCGACCTGTATTTTTTAACCCAACCTGATTAAGAGTTCTAGTTACTAAGGTCTTTTCACTTCAACGTTTTCCTAATGTAAGTTATCAAGTATATATCTTTAAGGTTGACTTTTCCCTTTATTGGATTTAAACTAGCTCATGTTTTGGCCTTTTCATCATTAGCTCTATTGAAAAAGGATTAATAATTAAATCGATTGTGAGTAACAGAAGCAAAAATTATATTCATATGCAAATTCCTCAACTAAGTTGATGAAGCAGGCCTCAGTAAATCATTATACACTCAGTAGTAGATAGATAGAGTATTCTCATCCTTGCTATTAGAGAATACATCTTCCTCTAATGTATTGACTATTTCAGCTTTTTCTATAACTAACTTGAAAGTATAGTGACGTATATGGCATAATGGATATTCTTCTACTATCATAAACGTAAAATGATAAACATAATAACTAGTTTTTACTTTGACTGCTCAAGAAAGAACATAACCGATCTTCATAAAGAAAATAGTATACTCAATATTACCTGATATTAGAATAAGTTATCGAAAGATAAAATAAATAAAAAGTAAAGTTCAATTTTTTTTATAAAAATAAAAAAAGACAAGAAAATTCTAGAGGAAAAGGATTAAAAAAAGCTTAAAGAAAATAGAAGTAAAATGTTTCTCAGAACCTTTCATTTTGTATTTTTAAATATTTTACAGTATAGTAAAAATTGGTGAGTTTATATATAAATTATGCCATAGTGAGAAGATGATCAATTTTACATATCATAACTTGTCATACAGGATTCTTTTTGGTAAGTTATCTGTTCTCATAAATTCAAGAACATATTTAAATAACTTACCATTTCAGTTAATAAAAATGTTTCAATTATAATTAAAATCATTAAAAGGCTCTGAAAAGAATTTCGTTTTTTTAAAAGTGTTTTTTTTGTAGTAGTGTAAAGTATTTCACTAATATTAAGAGTAATAAGAGTGGTAACATAGTTATTTTGATGTGAAGTTGAAGCTTCATCCTAATAATGCAATAAACAAAGTTAATTTACTATAAATCGGTTGAATTATTGATTTTTTTTTTCTATTAATGTGCGGTGGCTAAAGAGAATATTAGGAGGAATACCTATAAACTAAGTAAATATTACCCTCAATATGACCCTTTTAAATCTCTGATCCTCAGTTAAGGAGTATAGTAATCCAGCACTAGAACACATCCCAATGGTTTGCCAATTAGTATAGACCACCTATAATAGCTATACCCACAGTTACAGGCTTACTAGACCATTGGTACTATTACTTTTGGATAGAAGGTAAACTTCAACTATAGAGCTTGTCACACCCTATTTTTACCAATCTAATTTATAGGGTTTTACCCTATTGATGACTACTGAGACCATAGGATCAGATCCTTTATATAGATAGTAGTTTTGTACTTACCGGGGGGGGGGGACAAAAGTATTGCACGCTTTTATTTTTTCAATAATTTTTTATTTTTTATAGAAACATACAATTTTTTTTTTATTTTTTGAAAACTGACATTAATATTTAGTATGTCCTCCATTGGCATCGATCACAGCCTGAATTCTATTTGGCATTGATCGCATCAAGTTTCAGTACTCTTTTTGTGATATCGCATCTCACGCTTCTTTTACTGCCTTTTCAAGCTCAGGAATGCTTGAAGGTTAAGGATTGCATTTTCAAATTTCTACTTCAACTATAGACCACATATTCTCAATTGGGTTAAGATCAGGACTTTGAGCAGGCCATAGAAGTAAATCTACCTTTTG